CAGCTTTTTACTTCCGGTCAGGATGGATCAGTACGACATTGGTTGCATGCCGATTCGGAGTGGATGCTCGCCCAGGAGTTCAATGTCCGCGTTGTGAACGAGGCACTTTTGCCAACCGCAGTGGATTCATACTTTCCAGACAACGGCTCCGCACTGTTTGTACTTATTGGTTGCAATCGGGGTATGCTTATTGTATGGTGTATCACCAAAATATCACAAAGTCACGAATATGTGTGCAAAAAATTTGAAGCTGAGGAAGTTCTTACACTCAGGTGGAATTCTTTCTCGCAAAGCCCTCATCATTTAAACTTTGCAGTCGGTTATCGTAAAGGTTTGATTGGGGTGTATCAGTACAGAATGTTTTCGGTTACTTCTGGTCAGGTGATCACACAACTGTTTCGTTTTCATGCGCACGAGAAGGATATATGCGATTTGTTTTGGCGTCGTAATACCAATGCTTGTGGCCATCCGAAAATTGATCTTGTTACCACCGGTCGGGATCAGTTTGTCAAGGTGAGCGCCAAATTTTGAATTGATTATTTTTGGAGTTTTTTAAAAATTTAACACCAATCTGTAATTTTCTCTATCTTTATTATATCACATCCTATTTCACAAGTGTCTGAGTGTGGACTGTGTGCCAAGCGAAGCACAGCACAGTAATCATTATAAAGAAAGAGAAAAGTTCGTGGTTTGCTTGTGAATGCGATACTGATAAAACAGGTCAAATTTCTTGGGGAATTCACAACCAGAACCCTTGACCTCAGCCTATTGGAGTTATTATCCATTTAATCGAATCACACCCTTTGCATGCGGTCAAAGGTTCAAGTTGCGTAATACACGATGTCCAATCAAGCCGATGGCCAATACCGCATATAGGGATGTGTATGTGGTTGGCACACCTCTTCTTGGATGGTTTTGGATCAGGGGTTTGGAGCAACTCCCCTGAGTGAACTGCTGGTGGTTCAACAACCGGGTTATATCCCTGTGTATATATTATATATATTAACACACCTGTGCTGACTTTCCTTTCTCTCGTGTTGATGAGGAAACAATCCCACCAAAGGAAGCCAGTGATTAGATCTTCCTCATTAGAGGCTGTTGAAAACGATTGATCGTGTCGGATCATTTCGCGAGGTGCAAGATAAAGATGACCAGTGAAAATTAAAGACACCCACTCCGACCATATGGAGGTTTTCGGAGGTGACGCCTGTAGTAACGTGCTTCATTTGCTAACTTTGGGCTGGAGTGCAAGAAATAGCAATGTAAAGCTATAACTTGTGATGAAGTTTTGAAATAAATTTGCTTGGATCTGGTTTTCTCTCGGGCTTCTCAGCTTTCAGGCCGAGACCCTAAAGATTCAGATTTTCACTGACTGAAGACAGTGCATTGAGTCGAATTCAGTGGCACGGATACGTTTCCGCTTGTTCCTGTTTCCAAGAAAGTAGAAAAATGTTCAAGATTACGTGTAGTTAAAAAAGTTTGCTACCCCCCCCCCNCCCGAGACTGTTTGCTTCCTGTTCTGTTCCTACTGTTCTCAACCAATGATGGCTTTCGCATTGTTGTTAATTAACTCTCGCTCATGGTGTATGAAGTGAAGTATTTGTGTTTTACTTCAAAGGAGTTTGATGAGTTCCCATGGAGATTGCTTATCCGCTTTTATTGCTATGGTGTTGTCCTTCCAACTCAGGAGGAATGGACTGCATGATAGATCGTTCGGCTGCACTTTTCTCGTAAACCGTTTGTTAGCTTGTTGAATCTGCTTTTCTGAATGCGGTTTTTCACGAGATGTCTATTATCATCGAACGAATCCCTTTTTTCCATCAATTTGTCATCCCTAGAATGTAAGGAATGGTATTCTTCCGAAATTTCCTCGCGGATACCGTTTTCTACATTGTCCATGGGACTATGGGGTCCATAGAATGAGTCATCACATAACTGCTCTTTCAGTACATGGTGTTATTCGATTTCCAACTGGGGTTATCTAATGCGTGCGTACATCTACATCCACCCGTGCCCTTAATTCTTGTCTGGTTTTCACTGTCCTGTAGATATGGGATGTCGAAAGCTCCTGGTGTTCATCTTCTATCAGAGTACCTGGTTCCTCCCGAGTCTTATCAAAAGAAGCTAATCGTTCTGGTAGAGATAAGAATAGTTCAATCGGAACTCCATGGATCACATGCTGCCAGGCAGAAGGAGAATCTAGTTTGTGGATTTCAGGCCTTCGTGGAGAGATCTATCATTGGTCAATCCAGGACACGTCAAAAACGATTGCAAAACCAACAGCTTCCAACATTCATACCATGCTGGTATTTGCTTTGCGCTCCATTCCCAATTCGAACGGTTTGTTTGTTTCTGTCAGTCAAGATCGTCAGGTGTTGGTTTGGCAATCTACTGCACCGAATTCTCTTGCTCCTGTTCTTCGTATTCCAACGGTGACTGGGGGTATTTCTGCGCTGTCTCAGTCTGAACACGGTAATGGACCAATAGCCGCAGGTGTCTCAGACGGTTCTTTGATCCTCTGGCGCCCGTGCACCACAAGCCATGCAACGCGCGCTGTTTTCGGACAAGATTTAACTGTTCTGTGGCCTCGTGGTCAAAATTCGAATGGCATTACTGCTCTGGCTTGGCATCCGTCACCACAGCATGAAAGTTTTCTGGCCTACGGAACTGAGGCTGGCTGTGTTGATCTTTTGGATACAGCTAAACCCCGAAAGGTTGCAAACCCACAGAAGTCAAAGACACAGCCCCACATCTTTGGCACCACCGTGTACCGAGTTGTTTGGGGACCACGATTATTCAGTCGTGGTTCAGTTGAAGACGCCACTCAGAATTCGCGTGATCCTGAATCAATTGTGTGCTGCGAAGCTGTCGATCAGGTGGCTTCCGTGTCGTCCGCAGACGTCGCGAATTGTGATGAAGATTCTGAAACCACCGGAGAGTCGAAATCCACTCAGAATTTTTCATTTTATGTATACAGTGTATGCAAGGGCAGAATATTCTGTCACATAGGCTTTCAACGGACTCCTTTAGATGTGACATTGCGCTTTCCTCAACCCAGAAACACAAACACAGATGAATGGGCTGAGTTCAAACGCACGGATATTTCTTTCCTTCATCTCAACAGACCCCGTACTGTTAAAGACTGTGTCTCTGACCTTATTTACGACAGGTGGGATTGGATTATTGGTGTTGGTTACCGCGATGGTCGTGTGGATATATATCTACATCGGCGTTCCACAGAGTTTCGAAAAACGGATTCATCAAAATTATCTGCTTTGTGCACACTCAATACGCATACGAAAAGTATTAATTGTCTTGCTTGGTCGTATGATTCCTACCGACTGGCCATAGGTTCAAACGAGCACTTTATTACCGTGGTGGATTTAACACAGTTCTTGTTAGATGCTATCAGGTCACCATCGTCCACTCCTTTAGTATCTTCCACATGCTTAGCCCGATTAGAGGGACATGGCAATCGCATCACTTGTTTGGATTGGTCCCCACATGACCCAGCTTTATTACTGTCAGCATCGTTCGACGGTACGGCCAACGTGTGGTCTGTTGAAGTTGGAGATTCGCCTCAAAATTATCGTTCACTGGCTAATTTTCGTGCGCATAAACTTCGATTGTTTAGTTGTCTTTGGAGTCGAACTGAATCAGACTTAGCTTACAGTGGCGGGGAGCTGCACCATTTGTTTGGTTGGAGACCTTCTAAGCTGGTTTACACAGAACCGCCTAACACTCGTCGATATCGGCCTCCACCGGTCAAAAAAGTGCAGAATGCGTCATCTGTTGATCATTTTCTGTCTGATGACAAACACAGTTCAAACATATCAGCTTCCCATCCTTCTATTGAATTGTCAGTCTGTGAACGTCAAATATCGGAGCCGATGGAGGCTGGATCTATTGCAAAGTCAATCAATGTCAAGAAATTCGTCAGTGAAAACATTGGTGAGAAAACACGCAAACGTCCAGCTTTATTTCCTAAGTTTCTGCATCGAGCTGATCTTCAAACGAACATGGTAAATTACGTTTCTGTTCCACCACTTCAGTTGAGCTCAAAACTTGCTCAGGTAATACACGTCTTCCGTTGGCTGTACGAAGGCCAACCTTTACCTTCTGTCGAACTGGATTTGTTATTTATGTTGCCCGAATCTCCAGTTACACGAAGACACCTATTCCAGTTTTGTGAACAGCAGGTTAATCACCATCTTCAAATGTATCGTACCGCACGGAACGCTAATGGTTTGATGCATCTGGATGCTTATTGTATAGTACTGTTGTGGATGAACCGTTTATCCCAGGCAATCTCTACCCTAATCGCTGAATGTCACCTGCCTTTTTGGCTGTTATGGTGCATTCAGATGGCAAAATCTACAGAAGCTTGGTCTATAAAAACCAACGATTCAAGTATGGATATTATTGGAGAAAAAGTAAGACGCACTTAATTCATTGTGTTCTTGTGTTTTCTTATGTTTTGACGTTTTCAGCGCTTGTTTTGTGGGTTCATTATACGTGAATGCACAATCGCCGCTGCTCTTGATGTTGAGTAGTATCATGCACTTTGCCACTGCTTATTCGCCTGATCCTGAGCTCCCTCACCTGGGAAGCACACTGTGACCCAAATAACAAAGTCGGTAGATCAGGATATTCATATAATCAAACCGGCAGATAACCTGACCACCTTTAATCCTTTTTTAACCGGCACATGACTAATTTCATGACCATCCTTAGCAAACACTGATCGCATTTCTCCCCCAACGATTTCAAAAGTCAGATTGCTCCTTGTCTTAAGAGTGATGTGTTCGGAAATCGCTTGCCCACTTTGTGGTTCCGTGCTGAACGGTCTGGTCTTCACCGAACAGTTGGTCTCGTCGACCTCACCCTTCAGTTTGACCCAGTACGCAACCCAGTTTCAAGTATGCTCATTCCTGTATGGTAATTCACAGTCTTATTTGTTCGAGTTTCTCTAGGATCATGCTTTTGGGCTTTAAAATGATTCGTTTGCATCCGGATCAATTTCTTTTTTTAACATTTCTTTCACTTTTAGGTGAAGGATATTATGGGTACATCTTCGGATATTCTTATAAGCGCAACAGTACTTGTCTGTGCTGGCCGTTGCCGTGAGGCCGTTGATTTGCTGATGAACCATAACAGGTTAAAGGAAGCTCTGCTTCTCGCCCGTCTACGGCTAGATCCTGAAGATGCTCAGACACTGATTAAACAATGCCTCGGACGCATGATAGATCGTAAACTCACTGGGGATGTAGTTCACTTGAATGTGATTTATCAACTTGCCTACGGCAAACACGGCAATTTGGGCTCAGTACTCTCGCGTTCCTTGGTTTCTTCGTCTGAGACTGCACTGGACGCTTTGGCAAACTATTGGACACAGTTTGTAATCAGCGCACGGAGTACTGATACCGCTGCTCGGGTGGACCTCCTGCTTCAGTTCGCTTGTGCTTGCCTCCTGGTTGGTTTCGATTTGAGCAACGATGAAGACGGTGTAGAATGTACAACCACTCAATTTTTCAGCGGGTGGAAGTTGCTTTTCGAAACAATGAATTGTTCCTTGGACGTGTCAATCGTTATCGCCCTATTAGAGACTGCTTTGTTAGTGTCCACATTGCTATATCAAGAAAACTATTTTGATGTTATAATTCCTTCTGAATTCCATATACCAGCAGATGCACTTCTTAGGTTAGACCAGTTAGTTGGTGATCGGATATATCAACGCAGTCATTGGTCTACTTGTATGCTGCGCTTTGTGGTAGGCTTGGCCGCCGTTCTTTTATCCACTCAGCCGAAAGTTGAAAATATGGAACTATCACCGGAAAAACAAAACACAGATCAATTCACTTCGATTGTCAGCCCATTGGAAGATTGCCGAAAGTTGGATCCAGAAAAATCCAAGAGATTGATAAATAACCTAATTCTGTTATTTGAGAAATTGCATTTCAACAATACAACTTTTTGTGCCTCTTTGATCGCACTCCGAGAATGCTGAGTTCAACAATATAATCGCCCATTTTTGTACAAATACATACCATTTATAAGACCTTCAGTATCCATTTTCGTTCGGCGTTAACTCCAGTTTTGTTGTTCTGATTCTGCCTCTTATACAGTGTGTGTGTATGTGATTTTAGCCAAAGGCGTGATCTTCACGGATAGCAAAACAGCAAACGTGAGCGGACAGAGGCTTACACTTCAGAGATAGCCAACGGTCATTCTGAGGATAAAAGACAAGAAAATTATAAAACCCATCCCAGAGTTTCATCGTACAAGAATGCGTCCGGATATTCCGAGAGAGGGGTTGGGAGTAGATTGAAAGGGATTTTTGCGTGAAATGTGAAAGTACAGGGATATGTTAAATCCTAAGCTGGCACACAGTGGCATTAGAGAATAGCGAGGAAGAAGAAAAAAACAACGCTGAGTTAATAAGCTCGATTATGTCTGTCCAAGAGCCCTAACTTCCCCCTGAGAATTCCCGGGGTTTGCATTTGAGAGGTATTCGATAGGCCGCCACCGTCAGCACGTGCAGGCGTTTTCTCGAGCGGCTTGAGCGCTTAGTTGTCAGGGTAACGGAAAGGGAACGCTAACCCGTTGGTGCCCTCGTGACCCCGATTACTGAAAAATTGCCGTACCATTTTAAAATTGACTTGAGAAACTAGCAATTCGATTTTGTAAACCGTCACTGTGGGTTGAGAAAGAGGCGCAATGGTTGGATCCGCTTCCGTTCAGGGCTCTTCACAGTTGATCACTCGTTTTATCTACCGCTGGATTGCCCATATATCTTTCCATGCTCTTTCTGTGTTGAAATGAAGCAGACTGTGGTAAACAGTCCTGATGAACCCCAGCTCACTACCACGCTCAACCTTGTGTTTTTTACCAGTCCAGGTCGCAGTTGGGTTGCTGCATTACGAGTTTGGCAGCGATCAATTAAGCTCGCTTCCCTGTATTTCGCTGTACGATGATGATGATGATGATCACACCACAAATGAACAAAACTCACAGAAATCACAGAATGTGCACTTTACCTACGAAATCACAACACTCCATAGCCCTCAACAGTAGTTTAAATCGAAATGTTAATTATGTGCACCACTTCCTCCAATCTTCTTCCCCCTTGGATTTATTTTGGACGGAGACACATCTCTCTCCCGACAGATACTAAACATCTTCAGTTCTCTAATTACCTTTTCCATTTTTCTTTTCGGGTGTCTGCGCCTATATCCATCATTCCGTCGCTTCTTCCCGACTTTCTCCAACCGCGAATTCCAGCTTACGTGGCTGAAACTTCGGTTCCCTTCTTTCCCACTCCCCTAGCAGCAGCTGTCCTTCTATTTTTGATATTCTATCTTCAAACTTTCAGACATCACTTGCCGCGAATCCTAGCAGTAAAATCGCCATTGCCCACAATTTAAATGTTCACAACAAAGAATGACAGAAGCACTCCTCAGGCACTTCGTTCATGGGACGCGAGGCCGAAGCTTTCGCTGTGGTCAACAACCTAAGTCAACTAGTTGACCTCCCAACACGCATTCATGATCGTATTGGTGACCGCGCCCACACCCTTGACCTCATTCTCACATCCATTCCCTCTTATTTTTCCAACATCACTTCCCTTTCTCCATTAGGCCCATCGGACCATTGTCTCATTTCCTATCTCACTGGTTTCTGTCACTCCAGTTCACCTAACTCCAGACGCACCTTTCGGCGTTACAATTCAGCCAACTGGGTCCGTTTTCGTGACTTTCTGGCTTTTTATCCCTCGAAGGATTTCTGTTTCAAATCTGATGTTTCCACTTCTGTTTAGAACTTCGCAGAGATTGTTTTTGAATCTATGTGTCTTTATATTCCAAACTTTTTGAAACCCGGCAAACCACGATCCCCTGAGTGGTTTCATCTTGTTCGAAACCGGGCTGTACGTTTTAAAAAGTCAACTTTCCGTAATTTGCGTCACTTACCCAACCCAGCATCTCGCAACCGCTTCGTGCAAGCCAAAGACAAATGCTCGCTCACCACACAGCGCTAAAGAACGCTTCCTTTGCCACAAAGCTGCACGCCTCGCTTCCCCCACCGCTGGTAAGCGAACATTCTGGTCTCTCGCTAAGATAGGTTCACGTAATTTCTGTCCTTCCAACTTTCCTCTCATTTGCATTCCTCTATTACTCTTGTTTGTGAATCCCATGAAGAAGCAGAGCTCTTCGTTTCCCGGTTTGCCTACAACTGCACCTCATCTACTGACTCTACTATTCAACTCTGTTCCCATACACCCAGCTACTTCTTTCTACTTATCAAAACAACCAGAAAGATCCGCCAAACTCTTCGTGGTTTGAATGTTCGTAAACGACCCGGTTTTAGGTAATCGCGGTCGTCCACTGGGGCGAGTAGTCGACACTCATAGATGACGCTGGTTGGGACATGTGCTACGCATGTCACCAGATAGGTTTGCCACGGCGAGCGATGTTTGCCGAGGCAAGTAGCAGTTGGAAAAAGATCAAGGGCGGTCAAACGAGGACCTGGCACGTAACCGGGAGACTGGCCCACGTAGGTCCCGTTAGGTTTCCTGACTGGGAACCCCGAGATCGTTGTCACCAATGGTTAGAGACACTAATCGGTATGGCTGGGTGTCGCAAACAGTGGTGCTCATGCATCTACTCATTATTCTTGTAACATCAGTCTTTATAAATTCTCTATGTTCCGCTCCAGTTTGCTCTCACCATTCTTATCTTCATGCTGCTCTTTTATCCAAATGGGCAACCAAAAGACAGCATCCAAAACCGGTGCACAAAAGTAGATGGTTAATGGTTGTAAGAACTGAACTGAGCTGGGACGATCCAGTCCGGACGGTATTCCACCTGTAGTTTTAAAAACGTCCCGGAGTTAGTTTCACACCGCCTTTTCTGTTCTTCACACAATCTCAAATCTTCCCCCACACCATGGAAAATAACATTATTTTTCCTATCCTAATGCCCAGTGACCCGTCTGAATCCGCCAACTGTCATCCGATCACTCTCACTTTCGTAATTTCGAAAGTGTTTGAAACCATATGCGTACGATTCTCGAATGCGAATGGTCGTTAAGTAATCGCCAATATACATTTCTATTTCGTACATCTATGGATGATCTACTGGCGCTCACATCACATTTCTGGTCAACCGCACTCGGTAACGACGGAGAAACTCCTATTGTCTCGCTCGATATCTCAAAGTTCTGCAGCCGCGTTTGGCATGAAGGTTTGCTGTCAAAATTACCCACGTTCGGATTCCACCCCTCTCTCGTATCGTGGTTCGTGTTTCCTCAGCAAGCAAACCATCTCCGTCGGAGTAGATGGGATCGTATCTCGATCATTCCCTCTGAAAACCGGTGTTTCCCTAGCTTTCATACTTTTGCCCACCCTGTTCTATTTGTCAAAGATCTTTCTTCCAAAACATCTAATCTCATCCACTGTTTTGCCGATGATGCCACTTTCCATTGTTTTCTTTCTTACCCTACAACCCATCAGGTCATTACCAATATCGATCTCGATCGCAGTGTCATTAGTGCTTCTCTTGCCTTCGATTTCAGAATCATCTTCGCATGAGGTTCTACCAAACATGAGTGTTTCTCTCAGTCTCTCTTAAGCGTGTCCCTTATTCTCCTCAAGTGATTTTTGATCAGTTGCCCTCACGTTCCACGGTTTCTCTCCCTCCTGGATTTGTCCATGATTTCTCTCCGTTGGTCCACTTTTATTTCCACATTCTCCTCTCGCACTGTATCCGAAATCGGTTTTCTGTTACGTGCAAATCGTTTTTTAGACCCCAGGACTTTTTCTTTTTGTACAAAGCTCAAATCCGCCCGATGCTTGAATACTGCAGTCACTTACGGGGTGGAATTTTGTATTCTGATGCGCGTCCTCCTGCTGTGATGTTCGTTGATTGAGCCATCGATCTGCTTGCATTGACCCTTTTGGTCTTAGCAGTCGGTTGTCTCGGCGGTAAGGAGAATGTTATGACGGTGGGATATAAAACAATTTTGTTTGTCCATTTCCACTCATGATGAAGAGAAATGAATGGGATCCAGCTTAGCCGTCTCGCGCAAATCGCACGACCTCATCGACCCGCCCAATGGACGTTCGTCAGCGAACTCGACAACACACACGTCTAAGGTCTGCCTCGTTTCAACACAGAAAGAGCATGGTCAATCTGGGGGGGGGGTAGAAAAAACATGTGATCAGTTGACCAGTAAGTTGCGCTGAACGGAAGCGGATCTAACTATAGCGCTTTTTTCTCAGTTCAAAGCGACGGTTTCGCAAAGAAAAATGGTATTTTCTTAAATCATTCTGAAATTTCTGTAGACCGTGATTGACTTGATATATGCCGCACGTTTCTACCGTTCTTAACCCTCTGGCTGGTACTACCAACAATGGTTTGCACTGCTTGCAACTGCCTTTCAACTTAGGTCCTTGGGATACGCGTCGTGGGACCAGTTGGGCAAGATACAACATCACAGTCGCGACTGTGCTTTGGGAAATCAGTCAATTAGCTCAGATTTTACGTCAAAATGAGTAACTCCGCTTCGCATTCAAATGATGAAAGTTCTGTCTGTATCTGTAAATTAACGTTTGGGTTATTTGGGACAGTTTTGTGTTCTCCCTTACTCTCAGGAGCTGGCGACATAAATCTGAGCCCTTAACAAGTTACCTTTCATTACGGTCTGAATATATGGCTACCTACGGTTAAGACATTGAGATGGCTGCTATTAGGAGATTTCCGTTTTTGTAAATTAGCTCCAGCAAACAAATTTGTCTTCTCACTTGGGTACCGATGAAACAGTGCGTTGACTCAAGTTGTTCATCTTGTGTTTGATGACTTCTATACTCTGACGATACGGCTTCTTATAGAAGTCGTCAAAATATTCAGTTTCGAATTTTCCAAATCTACCTATTCAAATGATGGCGTTACCAACGTTGATAAGATATCTAATTTCAGCAGCGCCGACGTCAACCCCATGCCTGCAGTAGTCCTACGACATTCTCGCATGTCCCGAAGTCCCGATCGTACCACGGACGAGCTTTTCGAACAAACTCCCATTGAAAGAGTTGTACATCAAACCGTGAACGGCAGTCTGCAGTCGAATTTAAAAAAACAGTGGAAAGAGGGTAGCTCTTTGGGAAACATCCCACTCCTCCAGTTCCAGTAAGTCAAGTTGCTTCATAATAATAGTGATTGAATTTTTAATTAATGACAGACGAAGGTTATAAATTTTAACCAGGTTATCCGCACCATTGTGTGACTTTTGAATTTCTTCACCAACTCACGTCATCCGTCAGTGATAAGTTACCTGCCTGTATTTATCGAATCGATCAATCACTGTTTTCATCATCTTAATGTTTGCCATGATAATTTCGAAATAAAACGAAGTGAAAATTACTAACTTCTGTAGATATCAATATGTGAAGAGCAATTAACAGCTTGCAAACAGCTGTTCCGCTGTGGATGATCTTAAGGTTTGTGCTTTAGGCCCGCGGCACAGTCCGCCGTTGTTTTTATCGACATTTGTGGAGATTTATTGATTTGTATTTGTGCTCACTGAGTTAAACGACTGGTGCTTGAACTGTGAGACGATCAGAGAACTGTGCTTCAAAAACCGATTTGCAGCTGTTGTTCACATTGTGACTTGGGCTTCCGTTCCCAGTGGCTTTATTGCGGTTGTTTAGAAGAAGTAAGGAGAACTTGGCCCACGGCTGTTGATCTCGGAGGACGGCAGCCATGAACCGACCTCTAGCGGTAGCTCAAGGCGGTACGGTCGACTTGAGTCCATGATTGTGAAGGTTAGCTGTTTGCCTTTGAAATGGTGTTGTTTCTTGTGTGAGTAGTTGATTCCTGATAGGAACACTCCGTGGTCCGCGCAGAGTGGAAATAGGCAATTTCAGTGGTGCATCCGGTTGACACAGTTTCTATGTGAATCGCCGTGGAAGCTTTCCGATTCATGCAGAGATCCCACTTGATCGATCAAGTGTCCAGCGACTACAATGACATCTATTGATCAAACACTTGAGAGTAATTTAGAATTCATCCTTGAATTCAGATGCGCTGCCATCGGTTTGTGTATATACGGGCGCGACGAATAAGCATTGAAGCTTCGTTCTGTGGCTGTTGATGCATACACATTCCAAAAAATTCCATCCTCTCCTGCTTAGTAGCTGGACACCCTGGCAGCACCCGTCCATCAAACTCAAATGCATAAACAACCAAAAAATAATTCCATACTGCATCGGTCATCGCGCAGAATAATCTGGACGGCGCTGCCCATTTCCATAGAGCGGGGTGGGTAGTGATAAGCCTGCTTTTGAGCAGACTACTCAACTTTTGTTTAATTCTTTGTCTTCTGCCCCTTCTCCGACTCTAAACATTTTCCTAGACAACTTGTTGGTGTCATCATCATCATCATCATCATCATCATCATCATCATCATCATCATCATCATCATCGCCATCTTCATCATCATCATCGTCGTCGTCCGTGAATCATCAATCAATGATCAATCATCAAGCAATCATGAAGCATGAAGGAATGATCATCATCGGCATCGTCATCGTACAGCGAAATACAATGGGGCGAACTTTATTGATCACTTCCCTCGTATGCCCAGCTAGCGTGCACCACATCGCACGTTATTCGGTGTAGCCGCTCCGTGCGGGAGGAAGGTAACAGATGACGGGTCGACATAGCATGAAGAAATGCACGGAGCCATTAGGTAGTGTAAATGTCAGGCGCCCTCCAGGTAAGATCTGAAAGACTCAGCACCTCCTTGGTTGGAGACAATGAAGGATATGGCAAGGAACCGACAGGAGAGGCTTTCTTGTTGTCATTGCTTATCAGGGTGGTGGTGGTGGTGCAGTGTTTTAGTCGCTGTTACCTGCGCGCTTTGGACCGTTTGCTCCGAGGTTCGAGGCCCACCACCGCTACCGAACTTTGGCGGTAGGCAGCCTTGCTGTCGTCCGGTTCAATACCACGCCTAACCTATCGGGGTCTTATGTGGTTCGTCACTCCAAGTCCCAAAGCTCTGGTTCCCGGTTTCCACCACTGAACAGCAGGTTGTCGTGACTTTTGGGCTCGCCCCGTCTGCTGTTCATCACACTTGGGTGAATTAAAAAAGTGGTCCAAAAGAACCCCGAATTTGATACTAGACCTTGCGAAATGATCAATTTCTTTGAACTTACTCGTTCAGCTGCAGTACCACAGTCTGTCGCGCACTCTGTCTTACTTTGTTATTAAAAAAGAGGAAACATATCCGTATAAAGAATAACTGCATGATTGCCGCTATCCCTTCACCAAGAGGATAGATAACTGCGATTCCTTAGACAGGTTTCAAATGTGTTTAGTTTTCCACCAAGCACGGTGAAATCAATGCTCTTTTTCAGTTAAATACTGCACTAGTTGCTATCTTTCTTTATGCACTGCACTCTTGGAAGCTCTACGAATCGCGGCAAGTGAATTAATGCATGTAGCACTCAGATTCAGGGTCTTAAGTTCAACATCAGTCTAGCTTCACTGCGTCTGTACTTCACAATACTTACAGTTCCAAAAATTTGCTCTGCCCACGAATTTACTGAATGATCTTAGCGAAGCCTTTCTTCATTTATTTGTTACAGGCCAAAACGAACTGATTACACATATGGCGATAGGTGAGTGGCTATTGTTCTCGCCGTTTTCGGAGGCCGAAATCCCAAATTTACCCCTGACAACCAGGAAATTCTATGTGCTGTTTTTTTTATTATTGTCGCATTGATGCAAAGCTGACTGCTACTCTGCATAAGGTAGAAGTAAACGTACCACACAAACCAATATCTTACTAACAGAAAACTGTATCTTGAAACTCTTTTCATAGTGTGACTGTTTGGTTCCTTTATGATTTCATGGGAACTCAAGACTTGGTTCTGAGATATCTTCTGGCGTATTCACCGCTTCTTATTCATCTTTATTGCGACGCTTAGCCACATTCGAGACAAGTTTATCCAATAACTAAGAAAGACTTGATACAACATTTTCAAATAATTCACTTCATAGTCAGCCTCTAAACAAGCGATTTTTTCCTCAAAAAGATCCTCATCAATAGACTGAGTAAGGTCGCATTTATCCTCTGGTTTCTGAGTCAAGGATTGATTCAATATGGGTATGAACCCAGGTTTTATGAAAGCGTTGATCAGTATGTGTGAATACACAGACACCCGAACATTAGGTGCTTGGCCATGAGAATGTCCACTTAGGTTTCTTCAACCATGCTCACACAAAACAGTTGCCTGACCCTATCTTTGGATTTCTTGGATCCAGAAACTGTTTGTCCCCACAAACCTATAAAGTAATACACATGAGTAGTTGATTGTCTTTTACTTTTATAAGATTAAATACCACATCTGTCTGGCCAAGAAAGAAACCAACCTTTCAAATGCTTGAAGTCATAATACATTTTTTGTGCTAGCTGGATTGCCTTCCTGCAAACGATGCCCTCCACTATGGGGAACTCTCTGTGCTTTCCCCTGTAGCAGTAAACCATGCCAATGCGGCCTAATTTACTGTCTAGCACTTTTCAGGTCGCATCTTTCCTGAGATGCTCCAGCATTCAAATTGTGCGTTAATCGTTCGATCGGATATAACGTTGTAAACGTTTGCCAAGTGATTCGGCTACGGAGCTCTGAGTTGTGCCTGGCGGATTCAACATTTCTAACACATTCTGCTTCGCTCTCATCGATAGACACTTGCACATTTTGACTTCAGTTGGCACTGGTGTGTTATCAAGTCAGTTAATAGTGTGATGTTCGCGTGATGTTAGGTGAATCGTCATTGCAGGATGGCTAAGAATGGCCAACCCGAACATCGATCTACGATCTTGTGGAGGGAAATCAGGAACTGCGGACATATTGATGGGGTGCCACATTGCATAGTCAGGACCTACGTCATTACGCATACTCTTGGTTTGGGTTTTCGGAAAAGATGGAACATTAAAAAATGAGACTTCTCATGGATGCGACATAACACGCGTTTCACTGCACAGAATCGTGCGACACGTGCTAGAAAGGGTAAACGCCATAGTGACAAACATGTGCTGTTCTATTAGGTTAATCACCAACACCAACTGTCCGACTTCGGCTTGTTATTCATATTAGGCTCCTCTTTGGTTGACGTTATCGCATTTTGACAGAACTTGTCCCCAACTCTCTATCGACAAAATGGTGCATCTTTCAACACAGAATTATATTTATCGCGTATTTCAGATTTTCAGGCTTGTTTTTACATTGTTGTATCCTTTTTGACAGCTTGTTCGTCAACCACCACGTTACATTTCCTTGGTGAACATAACTGTCGTCTGTGAAATCTTGGAAACCTTGAACCTTCAGTGTATTTACTCTAACTATTGCCGTTCAACAAGCTCAACTTACGTACAAAGTAGGCTCCACAGTTTGACAACTTGTGTCTACCAGTAATAAGGTCACCTTATCGTTTACCTGGAGAACTTAACACTAGAGTCTTTCAGTTAATGTGGGAAAACCAGATCCCTCCTAGACACCGGAAGTCAGTACATTGCTGTACACTCTCTGTGCAAATACAAAGTGGACATGGTTTGCCCATCAGAGCGAGATTCCGCGACCCCGGTATACAAAGAATTAACGTCCTGAAGGCAGATACGACCCTTTACTGACTGTATCACGATAGACCAACTGACAACTCGGTAGGTCCCAAAAGCCTCAGTATGATCGGGGGTGGATGTCTAAGATTGTGGCTGATCACCCTTCCCCTGCACCTCGCGAAATGCCCCTGTACGACCAAGCGTCTCGAATAGCCTCTGCTGAGGAAACCCTTTTCACTGCCTTCTCGTTGCCTAGGTGTTTTCCCACCAAAGTGTGAGGACAAAAAGCTGACATCCGAGGCTATAACCGGGTTGGTGGACCACTGGTAGTTCACCTAGGGGAGTTGGCCAAAATCCCTGATTCCAAACCAACCAAGACGAAGCGTACGAACCACACCTTTCCGGTTGTGGCGGTGGTCACCGGCTCGATTGGGCATCAGGTGTATCGGGCACCTTGGACGTTTGACCTCGTCCGAACGGCGTATGATCCAATGAACTGGACACCAGCCCCCAATGTATTGCGGTTTTCACACCGCCCCGCTGCCTTGCGGGTCAGGCTTTGGTTAGCCAAAGGCTCCGGTTGTGGATTCCCCAAGAAAATTCGCCTGGCCTGGCCTGGGCAACCTGGCAGTTTTCCGCCCGCATGCAACTCATGAAACGTTT